AAAAAAAAAATACAGGAATTTGCAGATGAAATTTGATGTTGGTCCTTGGACTTCTTTTGGAATAGAAGTGCTTCAACAACTTGAAGAAATTTTAAAATTCGATTTTTGCAAAGATTATAGTTGTGGGTTGATTGGTAAGTTGATGAGTTTTTGTTCCCAAGAATACAAGTCTTTATTGAAAGTAAAATAAAACCTGATGGTGATAACACCGTGCAGAGTTCGTTGTAAGAAAAAAAAAAGAAATTAACTATTGTGAAGCAAAATTACTGACAGCTATTTTTCGATTTTTAAGTCTGCAGAAAATGATAAGAACACTTTAATATGTCTGTTCTCCTCCTATTATCTTTTGTCACCAGCAGTGTTTTGGCACTGATTCTCAAAGAACTGGCACTACCAGCCAAATTCGGCAGTGTTTGTAGTAACAAATTCTATTGCCTTCTGTATGCCATACAGAAGTAATACACGGAATCTAGCACTTCAAACTTTTAATATTGTTTGTATTACTATTTGATTACTTTTAATACAATTTTAATGTTTTTTGTTACTATTTTTCTCGGTTTTCAAAAAGAAGTTTGTTCATTATGCGAAACGTTTCTACATCCAACCGCTTTTTTAGGACCTAATTCAAACTTGATGAAATCTATAAAATTTGTCCCAGATTTTACGTTACGTGTGTCAGGATTTTGTCGTTTCGTTCAAATTACTCCTGCATCTTACATTAACGCATATCAAGTGACAAGGATCGCTCGAAATACACGGTATAAACACCTTTATTGCTTGGTCAGACAGTAATACCACTTTACTAATGAATTAGCTTGCCAGTGTTGACCGCAGTGTTGCAGCGAAATGTAAAAGTAAAATAAATTCATAATTTCAGGAATGGTGAGTCTTTAGAAGCATATTCAAAGTTGCTTCATTTAACAATGGATGTTCCGCGCGGTCGTGGATTTTCCGACACTCAGTTACCTCATTTGGTTGGTACCCTTTCTATAGCATCTCAAACACACATATACAATTTTTCCGCTGAAATTCATTATGCGTAACATGATGGCAAAATACGCGTAAAAAGAGTGCTATTTCCAGAAACACTATAGCGATGGCAAAATGAAATCTGCTAAGTTTTCTACTTTTAAGGAAAAGATTAAAGAGTTTAATCTTGTACAACGATGGAAGAACACCCGCGATGAAGAACGGTCTGGTGGCAAAATAAGTTATCCATAAACCAAAGTGATGATGATTTCTCATCCTTCACAGTTACTGCTAACGGAAGAAAAAGAAATGTTACTTTGTTTTTCTATATACTTTTGCTTAATCAAAGAAACACAAAAAGAAATATTAAAATTGAAGGTAATAGCAGAACTGTTGAGAATTTTACTGCAGATCTCTGAGCACTGTTGATGTTGTGGTTATCGTTGCAAATGGCTGCGTTATCTGTAAAACAGTTAAAAGCTTTTTTTCGTTTCAGCGAGAACCATTTTTAATTTCTATTAGTCTTTTAATGTTTATAAAATATGCATTTTTACTGACTTTATTCGTACTGATTTCGTTTTCTGACATTTTAAATCTTCATTTTTTTATTACTTACTGTGCTAAATGAGTTGTCAAAACTACATTACCATATCTATTGTTAACAAGGCATATTGAGTTTAATTTGATGTTATTACATATGTGTCTTGAAGGTCCTTCTTCAGAGCACTAGAGGCTATTTCTTCACTGTTTGTTAAAGCCATATATATATATGTATATATATAT